CACAATTTTAGGGTGTTAGATGTTTCTGTCCAGATTGTGTGATGCAGTTTTTCCACTGGAAATCAATCTTGGTAAGGGTGCTGGAATCTTCTGTAAATAAGTGTGCCAAACCAAGTATATCTGATTTAATAGGCTTCAAGCATTCATCGGCACTCAGAAAAGAAATAGACTGCAGCACACGAATGTTGTCAGGTAAGCGTTGACGAAGTTGTTTTATGAGTTCAACCCGTTCAAATGGCTCGAAATTAGGAAAACCGAGTTTTCATGGACAGTCCAAAAGTATCCAGAAAGTCGCTAGACTTCTGTGGATATCGCTCTAAAATGTCGCTAGAAAAAAACAAAAAGCTCTAGATCTAGCTACAAAGTCGCTAAGTTGGCAACTCTGGTGGGTACGCCGGTGAGAAGCGCGTCTTATCTCACGTGATCCAGACATTTGCTAGATATCTTATAAAATTAATTAATACTCTCTTGATTTGAACTTAACAGAGTAAGACAATGATGCATATTAATAACATACATAAATATACAATTAACCTAAGTAACTAAGAACAATAATAATATAATAAATACAATTAACAATTTATTAATAGCTTATATGAAATGTGCCTCATGCTATGCGACTTCCCGCGCTCTACAGGCACGTAACATCATAGAAAAGAATAGGTGGTAACTTGATGTCCAAAACGTAAGGCCGTATCAAGGAACTGCACGTGGAGTCCACTTCAGTCCAAGTTTAAGTTTGGGCCTATTTCCAGTCGTAGAGGATTCTTCTAACTCGTCAGGTGTTGGCAGCAACTGGCAACCGAGATCAACAGACTCTGGCGTCCGAACTCCACAGTAACTCTTGCAGGTTAGTGCCTCGACTAACTCCAGCTTGGGGACGTCGTCAAGGACACGAGCAATGTGGGTCCTGCAATTATATTTCCTTAACATATTAGCTTGATGTAATTTAGGCTTAGAGGAAGGGGGCGAGAACCGTCCAACAAAATCTATGGCTTCCCGAGAAGATGTTTCTGCAATGGGTAAGGGTTCAAGTGGAACAGGACGGACTCTACCCTTGGCGGACATACGTGGGCACTGATCACAACTCCTACAAAAAGCTCTAATATCCGCTCCCATACCTGGCCAGTAAAACTGATCATCAACCTTCCTATAAGTTTTCCTACGAGAACAGTGACTTACAAGAGAGCTCTTGTGAGCTACAGAGAGAATGTTACTACGACAAACATCAGGGACAACAAGTAAAAACCGACCTACTTTAGCTGGTCGCTTGGATGAAACACAAGACCTGTGTAACACCCCATTAATAGAAACAAACTTATAAACTGACCCATCTCTCACCTGATCCTCCTCCCCGGAAGTCACCTTCTCCCTTACCCGCTTCAGAGTGGCACACGAGTGTAGGGGTATCGAGATATTAATGTTGTCTAGCACTCAGGATGGAAGGAAACTCTAATGTGGTTTTCTTGTATAATATATAAGTTATATGATAGTCTGGTGCTGGAGATGCTGTGTGGTGAGGGGCTGCTTGGTAGAGACGTGCGGTGAGTAGCTTGTTGAAGGAGGTAGATGTGGAGGAGCTCCTTATCATGGGGGACTTTAACTATGGCGACATCGACTGGAGAAACGAGTCAACCCCGAATGACTTGAATAATCCTGCTACTCTTTTTGTAGAAACTCTGAGAGATAATTTTCTGTTCCAACATGTGAGAGACCCGACACATTACAGAGGGGAGCAAACACCCAAGCCGCTTGACCTCATCATAACAAACGAGGAGAGTATGGTGGCCAAACTGGAACACCTTGCCCCAGTTGGCACCAGTCACCATACAGTGTTGTCATTCAGATTTAACTGTTACCTAGTTCAAGATAAGGCCAGGCCAAGGTGCAAATATTACAAGGGAAATTACAATGGGATGAGGGAAGAGATGAGGGGTATCAACTGGCCTGACTTATTAAGGTACAAGAACGCAGACACTACGCTGAATATCATAACTAGTAAAATGACCCATTTGATCGATAAATATATACCCAAGACCAAGCCCAGTGCTTCTAGGAATACGAGGGGATCCCGACACATGAACCATGCGGCGGTCGACAAAATTAAGAAGAAAACCCAGAAATTCAAGACGTGGGTTGGGTCAAACGATGAGCAAGACAGGAGGATGTATGCAAGAGCCAGAAACCAAGCAAAGATAGAGTGTAGGAGGGCTGAAAAGGAGTTCCAAAGGCTGGTTGCACGCGAGGTCAAGTCAAACCCAAAGGCGTTTTACCGCTATGCAAAGTCAAAATTGAAAACGCGAGTAGGAGTATCAGACCTGAGGCTTGAAGATGGTAGTTACGCAGATTCTGACCAGGATAAAGCTGAGGCATTGAACAGCTTCTTTTCCTCAGTGTTCACAAGAGAGGATGCAACTAACCTTCCTGCGTTTGAGGACAGACGGTTCGAGACAGCACTGACCCACATTGTGTTCACAGAAGAGGGTATTAGAAATAAACTGTCCAGGCTAAAGGTCCATAAGAGTCCTGGACCTGACATGGTGCATCCTAGAGTGCTAAGGGAGCTGTGCAACGAGCTTGCAGAGCCCCTGAAGATTCTGTTTTGTAAATGCCTGGATGAACAAATGGTCCCCAGTGAATGGAAAGTGGCTTATGTGAGTCCTATCTTCAAGAAGGGCGATAGGCACTCCACGAACAACTATAGACCGGTAAGCCTGACCAGCATAATATGTAAAGTACTTGAGAGTATTATCAGAGATGCAGCGATGGAACATCTACTACGAAACAACCTTGTAAAAGATTGCCAACACGGTTTTATGCCGGGGCGCTCTTGCTTGACACAATTGCTCAAGGTATTGGATATTTGGACCCATATTCTAGAACGGGGTGGTAATATCGACAATATTTACCTAGATTTTGCAAAGGCTTTCGACAGTGTACCCCACGAAAGGCTGAAAATCAAACTGGAAGGGTACGGAATTCGGGGAAATGTCCTAGCGTGGATAGAAGACTTTCTACATGACCGCAAGCAATGTGTGGTGATTAATGGCACGAAATCGTCATCTGTACCTGTAACAAGTGGGGTACCGCAGGGTAGTGTATTGGGCCCGCTGTTGTTTGTTTGTTTCATAAATGATATGCCTGACGTTGTACACTCCTCCATACAAATGTTTGCCGATGATGGCAAGTTATTTCGGGAAATTAAGAACCAAACGGACTGTGAAGAGCTGCAGAAGGACCTCTGTGGGCTCCAGGAATGGTCGAAGGAATGACTGCTGAGATTCAATGTCACGAAGTGTAAGAGGATGCACCTGGGGCGTACCAACGGTAAGGAGGCGTACCATATGTCCCAACGGGATGAAGAAAATGTACTAGTTGAGACTGTATGTGAGAAGGACCTAGGTGTGTATGTTGACAATGAGCTGAAGTTCTCGGGCCATTGTGAGAAGAAGGTAAATCAGGCAAATAAATTATTGGGTCTTATAAGAAGGTCGTTCAGATATCTAGACGGTCCGTCCCTCGTGACGATCTTCAGGAGTGAAGTGCTTCCCATCTGGAGTACTGTCACCCCATCTGGTCCCCGAGATATGCTAGGGACTGTCAGTTGGTTGAAAATGTTCAAAGGAGGGCCACCAAGCTGGTGCCTGCACTTCGGCATCTCAGCTACCCTGCGAGATTGGAGCGCCTGAACTTGCCTAGCTTATACTACAGACGGGCAAGGGGAGACCTAGTTGAGGTTTATAAGCATCTCAGGGGGCACTACTCAGTTGGGCGAGGGTTCAAGTGCATTCAAGAACGAATGCCGCCAACAGTGCGTGACGAGACGACCGATCGCCCGGGCGGCTGGCAGACCTTTTGGTGAAATATAAGGAAAGAATAGGCCGACCGATCGCCCACAAGCGGCTAACAAGCCGATCAGTAGAGGATAAAAGTAAAATAAAGTATGGCTGTGGCGAAGATCCGGGCTTTAAATTTGAATATGCACCGCCGGGGGAAGCCATGGCGTTGTTTACATCCCGGGGCCCAGTAGCAGGTAGGTCCCACGTATTTCTTTGCTCTGTTAGAGTGTGTTTGATAGATTGAGCATAATAAATGTTATATGAAGAATGTGATGATCTCGTGGAGGTAGTTTGTAAGCCAGAATAAGGCTAATTCTAGCGTTGCTCTCCAGACATTCACCCTGGAGTGAGTCTACACCACCCCCTGTGTTGGGTTTATTATGTATTGTTTAATTCCTACTACTGTGTGGTACCCATATGACAACAGTTGATGCTTGTTTTGTAAGTATAATAACTAGTTATGTCTGATCTAGGTCCCAGCCTCTTCCTTCTCGGGTGATTTCTAGAGTAAATAATTGAGAGAAGACTACAAGTGTGTCCCATCCCTGAATTGGGAGTTCCCTGCTTTGTGCTTTAAGTCAGGCCAACAGGTTGAGACTCAAGCTGTTTTGGTCACAAGTCAGGACTTGAGGATGTTGACCAGAGTCCGCTAATATCCTTCAATATTTAGGTAAGTAGAAGGAACTCTTTTTTTTGTTCCATGTATTTTGATAATATATAACAAATTAACTTCCTAATGGCATGAAAGAAGTTATTGTAGGTCGTAGTTATGGCGGAAGACGTGAGGGGACAGCCCCGCCTACTGTAAATGATTCATCGCCTTTAACCAATAATTCGTATATCTATGATAATAATTATATACATTGGTCATGTAATTGGTGAAAGATTTATATTTGTACTGTAATATCCATGTAGATACTGTTTTAGTTAATGGATACAGATGGTTGCCACTTTATTTACGGTAAGAAATTAAAGTTAATCTTATATTTAACGGGTATAAAGGTATTCTTGGAAGAGATGACTAAAACCAGCAGGTGTTGTTCAATTTCTTTCATTTTTTCAATATGTTCTTACCATTATGATATATTTTAAAATCTAGGTGACATTTACTAGAACCTATTAAAACCTGATATATTTATATAGTTTTATTTATGACTTGTGTAAGTTTTATAATTTATTTAGTGAATTTTCGATCTTGCACTGGTATTTCTCTCACTGTTATTAATATGTTTTTCGTAATGTTTAGACAATCTAAAACATTTTTCTTTTGTGACATTTCCGCCGGAAATTAAGGATAACCGAGATATTAATTTTTCAATATTATTAGATTTGGTCATTCACGAGTGTTGTCATTTGTTGTTTACGTCTCACGGAGGTCTGACCGCCCGTCGCGCAGTGCTCCTTACCTCCGTGTTGGATTCTTAAGCATTTACAGCGCATGTGTGGGGGGTGGTGTGGGATTTTCTTATTGGCTATAGGAGACTTATAATTGGGCGAGAGTTTTACGTCAATTGCAGATTTTCGTCGGAAAAATAGTGTTAGGTTAGTTAAGGTTAGGTTTGGTTTTGTTAGTTTGTTGGTTTTTTATTTATGTGATTTACCCAAAGAACTATTGATTTCCGGCTGAAATTAATATTAAATTTGTTCGAAACTCATCGAGTAACATTGAAAAAACATATTTTTAATATCTGAACAAAGACCGGTGCATTTGTGAAAATTTACCATTTATTTTACACAGTGTTACAGACACCTGCTCCAAGTGATACGCCATGACAGAAGTGTTCCGGTTCGGCCTCGTGCCCATCGCTTGTCGTGCCCGGAATGAGGACCGCAGCCGTGAGTACCGACCTATATGAAGTTAAATAGCACTTGCCTGGCAGGTAAATTGCCATCTAATTTTCAAACTGAGTTTTATCGGTATCACTTTTCTAGAAGAAGTTTTTGTAATATTTGATGATCTCCCACCAATCACATTTCAGGATGCAATCATTCTGCTAAGTTCTAAAATAGATATGTTAGGTCTCACCATTACCTATAATATGTCATGGAAGCCATACGTCCACAACATTGCTAAAACTGCCTTCCGAAAGCTGGGAATGCTGTACAGATGCCGTAGCTACTTTACTCCTGAGCAGTTGCTTCAGTTTATAAGAGATTCATTTGTCCTAACTTGGAGTACTGTGCTCATATCGAGGGTGGCTCTTCTTCTGTCCAACTGTTAGATAAGGTGGAATCAAAGGCATTTCATCTTATTGACTCTCCTCCTTTAATTGATAATCTTTCATCCCTTTCTCTTTGCTTCAATGTTGCTTCACTCTCTTTTTTACAGGTACTTTAATGGCCAATGTTTGGTGGATTTGGCATCCCGTGTACTGCCGGCAAGGCCGTGGACTTGTAACGCTCGTATTGCCCGTGGTGCCCACAGTTTCTCTGTGGGCAATTCAATTTCTTTTTACTCTTATTTTTTTTGCCCCCTAGGCCCCATTGTGGTTCAATGACCTGTTGCTGGGTGGCCTATTCCCCGTAAAAAAATAAAAAATAAAAATAAAAAATAACTGCAACCACAGAATTCTGGAAGATTAGATTAGGTTATTCTTTGGTTACTGTAATCTGCAATTTTACCTAAGTTTTCAGCCAGACAGCTGTCATAATACAGCATAATCACTGGGGGGGGGTTCAGTCCTCTTTTTTATACCTGAGCAGGACTGGTTTCCTCTTCTGGTCATAACATGTTCAAAGCTTCTGATCTCTCCCAGTTTGTACCAGAAAGTAGGTGGAGTTAATTTTATTTTATTTTTTTTTTTCATTGTTAGGTTTAGATTTTATTTAGCTACTTAGCTTCTCTGTAGTTTTGTTTTGTTTCTCTAGTTTTGCAACCTCAGTGCATGTGTGTGTATTTCTTACAGAAGTGGCATTGAGTCTCAACAACAATGAAGTGAATATATATGGCAGAGCTGCATCAGAGTGGAAGCTTCAGGAAACACTCCAGGGTCATGATCTGCGTGTCACAGGCATTGACTGGGCTCCCAGCACCAATCGCATTGTTACATGTGGAGCAGTAAGTTTACTGTGTATTTATTTAACCTTTTCATGTGGTTAAGGCATAAATAATTTAAGACTTTAACTTTATCTTTTTTGGTTCAGTTAGTTTTGTATTGTAGCATATACATTTTTTCACTCGGCCCTTAACATACGCTGGTGTTAGGTTTGAGAGATACCCGTGAATGTTAAAAATCCGTGTACTTTTGCCCCCCCCCCTGAAAAACCCCTGGCCCCCCATGTCCTTATTTACCATATATACCTGTGTGTAGTTCGAGTTTTTAAGACCAAATTATTTGGCAAAAAATTGGAGGTCAACCTCTAAACGGGTAATAGTTTCGTTAGGTTGAAAAATATTTACCAGTAACTACCAGTAAACTATGGAAACGACGCACCACCGGCTGTGAGTGTCGGTACAGTTGCCAGGGCAGATCTCTTGCGTCATCATAGGAAGCCCAAAGTAGCCAAATGCATGGTATGGTATACACAGGACGATGTAAAACAAAGTATTCATTTTTTTAAAGTTTATTTATAGATACTGTACATCAATTTTTGTTCATTACATTTGAAACATCAATCTTTGTTAATTAAATTTGAAACAAGTATAGTAGTTTTGTTGAAACGTAATGTACAGTATTTAATATTAAAATGCAAAAAGAGCTATAAAATCAATTAATACTGTACACCCGTAATGTACTGGCTGGCATCTCCACTCGTCCCTGCTGCCGCCAGTCACCGCTCGTCCCCGCTCTATGCCTCCGCCTCCTCCACATCGTCACTACTGTTGTATTAAAATAATATTCTATCCTAATTCACTTGAATAAATACTACAATACCATATTTCTGAATATTTTCATTAAAATCCATCAAAATCATTTTCCTTGTCATCGTCTTAAGCACCAAACAGCTCTTCCCAGTCTTCTCCTTGAACAGGGCTAGAGGGTACGTGTTTTTCAAATCGTTTTCAATTAAAAAAATGTTACAGCACATGTATATTTTACCTAAACTGCACCTGAATGAATATATTCTCAGAAAAAAATAGTAGTTTTGCTGAAACGTGGTGTATTTCAATGTAAAATAGGATAAAATACATGATGAAAACAAAAGACTTTACCTAACCTTCCGATGTTCAAGATATGTTACTCGTTTTTTTAATAGTTTTTGGTTTAAATACTGTTATATTACAATGATATTCTATTCATACTGTGCTTGATATACTACATTCACGGAAATGTAATATTTTTGCTGAAATGACGTCCGTATTACAGTGGAAAGTGGGATAAAATCGTGACGAAAACAATGACTTTCGCTTTCTTTCGTTCAAAAGATGTTACCGTAATCGCTTTTCGAATGGTTTTCAGTAAAAAAACTGTTGCATCACAAGTGAATTAGGATTGAATATTATTGTATTACAACAGTTTTTTAACTGAAAACCATTCAAAAAGCGATTACGGTAACATCTTTTGAACGAAAGAAAGTGAAAGTCATTGCTTTCGTCACTTTCCACTGTAATACCTGCGTCATTTCAGCAAAATATTACATTTCCATATTCTCAGAAATAAATAGTAGTTTTGCTGAAACGTAATGTATTTCAATGTAAATTAGGATAAACTACACGAAAACAAAAGACTTTACCTAACCTTCCGATGTTCAAGATATGTTACTCGTTTTTTTAATAGTTTTCGATTAAAATATTCTTATATTAGTGATATTCTATTCATACTGTGCTTGATATAATACATTCACAGAAATGTAATATTTTTGCAACTACAATGCTGATGTCAACACAAGCGTGGTTACAGCGAGACTGACTGAGTGAGGGAGAGCTATGCGTGTGTGTGTGTGAGGTTGCAGGAGCGGGCGGTGTCCCGTGTTCGGTGCCGCGTGCGAGTTGAATGGCGCGCGATTTGAATGTACTTCAATTACTTCAATGTACAGAATATTCCTCCGGCGGGGCAATCCGCGTATTTGCAAATCCGTGTATGCTAAACCAGCGTATGTTAAGGGCCAACTGTGTGTGTATATATATATATATATATATATATATATATATATATATATATATATATATATATATATATATATATATATATATATATATATATATATATATATATATATATATATATATATTTATTTATTTGTTTAACAGTGCATGAGTTTTTAAATGCCACATTGACGTTCCAGGTTTTTAGTTGTAAAGGAATTTGAGAAAAATTTTTGTGAAATGGTAATACTAAGAGATTCTTATGGTCATGGGTGGGCTTGGGATTGGTTCTATAGAAAGATTTCTTAGTAATGTTAAGGCATTTGTCTATGAAAGATCTAGGGTACTGAAGGTTCAAGCCAATATTATAGATATATTTATATTCCTCATCAATAAATTCCGGGCTGCAAATTCTCAAAGCACATAAAAACAATGATGAAAATACTGACTGTTTGACTATTATGGTGGGCAGAATAATAATGAATGTATGAACACACATGAGTAGGTTTCCTATAAATACTGAACTTAAAGGTGTTACCTATTCTGTGGATCAGACAGTCTAGTAAAGGCAATTTACAGTCATGCTCTAATTCCACAGTGAATTTGAGCAAGGGGGCTAAGTTGTTAAGTTGTGGCAGTTGAAAAGAAACTATTAAGTAATATTTTACCACCTTCAGCAGTCTGGTTTAGATATGTTGATGATGTATTATGTCTCTGGCCATGTAATGAGGACCTAAAAGCATTCCTGCCACAACTTAACAACTTAGCCCCCTCGATCAAATTCACTGTGGAATTAGAGCCACATTTTATCAAAAGCTTTTGATACGTCTCTGAGAACAATATTGCACTGGTTTTTATTGCGGACGGCATTAGCTATTGATTCTCAAATTAATGCAATAGCCGTGTTTGTGCCTCGGTTCTTTCGGAATCCGTGTTGTCTGGGGTTATATTTGTTTTCCTGTTCTAGATAGTTTCTGAGTCTGCTGTTGACTATTTTTTCTAGTATTTTCCCTGGTGTTTCTAATAAGGATATAGGTCTGGGGAAGTGTCCTGTTGCTAGTGAAGCGTTAAAGATCTGTGGGTATGTTTTGAAGGACTGTTTTGTTTGTCTGACTTAGTCCAGGTGCTTTATTTTTAAAAGTGGTTATTATGTTTCTTATGTCTTTGTGGTGATTGGCAAGGTTAATGTGTCTGCACTGATTAGTATGTTGAGGTCTATTGTTCTTGGTGGTTGCCATTTCTGTGTGTTTAGTGTAAGGTGTGTTGTTACCATCTGTTCTGTTACTCTACAATAGTTTCTGTTTCTTCTTCTGTCATTTTATATATGTTGCTCCAGAAATTTCTGAAGATCAGTTCTTTTTCTACAGATTCTCTAGCTTTTACCCCGTTGTCGTCTATAAGATGGCTGTTATCTATGGAGTTAGTGCCCATTAGTTTTTTATTTTACTCCAGAAAAATTTTGGGTTGTGATAATCGGCCTCTGTGTTTGTGATTATCTGGTTCCATTTGTCGTTGTGTGATTGTTTACATATTTCTTTCAGCTCTTCCTTTAGGTTTCTGAAGAGAGTTATTGTTTCTTGGTTCCAGCCGTGAGTATTTGTATGTTCTAGTATATTATTCAGTCTTGTCTGGATTATCTTCTGTTCGTGTGTTAATTGTGCGTGGGGTAGTGTGCGGTAAGTTGTTTTGGGGGTGTTATTTTCCATGGCTGTGGTGACTTTAGAGTACCATGTTTCCAGGGCTATGTCAATGTCTGCTGTGTTTTTATGTTGATGTATTTGTTCGTTTGTGTTGAGTTCTGCCTTAAAACCCTCCCAGTTTGCTCTGTTGAAAGAGAATCTAGGGATGGAGGGGATTTGTATTGGTGATGTTTATAGAGTGATAATTATGGGCAGGTGATTGCTAGTGGTGGTTGGTCCAGGTTTCATGTGTGAATTCAAATGGTGGTGTCTATTGGTCAAAACCATATCCGGCTTCCCGGTGCTTCCTGCAGCTATGTAGGTTTCGAAATCTGGGCCCAGGTGTGTGATGTTGCCGTTTTCTAATAGGTCGTGTATAATCTTTCCCCTTGGGTTTCTGGTTCTGTGTCCGAGTATGGTGTGTGTCGCATTTAAGTTTCCTATAAAATACAGTATGCTGGTGTGTTACGTCTCATTAGTTTTAGTAAGTCGCCGGTCGGGAATGTTTGTCGTCGGCAAGGTAAATATGTTGTTCCGATTGTTATTGGGCCTTTAGTTGTGTTGATTTCGACTGCTAAGAAGTAGGTTTGGAAATTGTCTATGAGTGTATGTTCAGTTGATGTGTGTAATAGTTGAAGAGTTTTATTTTGTCACTGTTTTTCCGTCGGTGTGAGTTTATGAGAATTATGTCTGGGTCTATGCTGTTGTATATGTTTGTCAGTTCTGTTTTTCTTGTATGTGTCCAGGCCAGGACGTTGTGTTGTATTATTTTCTGTGTTCTGTTTTGCGTAATCGTGGGTCGCATGAACTTGACGCGTGTTGTTCGGTTGCTCGGGTCTCTCCGGGGGAGAGTCTCTCTCTCTTCTCCTTCAGTCCTGTTCTTATTTTCTTGAATTTTGATAAGTCTACGTTCTCGATTTTGTTGTATTTGCTGCTTATTTTTCCTCCACGTATTAGTGTTTCTATGAGTCCCTCTTCATATGTGTATTTGGTTGTTCCTTCTTTAATATCTTTTAACAATCTCTCATTTGTTACAGGGAGTTGACCGAGTAAAACCTGATTCCTATGCTGTCTCCGACGTCGGCTGGCCGTTGACCGGTGGGGTTCTCTCTACGTGGTCTTGCTGGTGTTGACTTAGCTGATTGGTTGGTTGTGTTCTCTAGGGTCTTGTGGTTATTTGGGAGTGGGTTGTATCCATTGCAGTCTCTGCTCCTGTGCAATTTTCTTGTTGTGTTATTTTATCTTCCCTTTCTTTGCTGGTGATTCCTAGACTGTTTTTGGTTATTATTTTGAAAATGTCTGCTGATGGGGCATTGTGTGGGAAGTTTACCTGTGGTAGGTTGTTCGCTGCAAACATTTCTCTGATAGTTTTTCCGAATGTTCCCGTGTTAGCCACGTTGATTATGTGGGCATGTATCGGTGTGGCTAGTATGGTGAAGGGTAGACCCTCGTTAAAACGGACCCCTTTAATCCCGATATCGGACGAAATCTGAATTAAGCGAGGGACTGTCCGTGTCAAATTTCTGGTTCTGGGATTGTCCGATAGATGGCGCGTGCGTGCCATCTGTAGTGTCTTGCAACTTTGTTATTGCAGCATAGGTTTTGGTTGGGTCAGTTTCTATATGTTTGTTCGATTTTTCCTTTTCCTTCATGTCTTTGATGATATCCTTCCTTACTGGGCATCGTGCTGCCAAAGTGCGGTGATGTCCTTTGCAGTTCGGGCATTTTGAATTTTCATTACGTGTGTCTTTAACTTCCATATTTTCATACGTGGTACAGTTTTGTATCAACTGTGGTCAGGTCTTCTTCATGAGAGTACTCTTTGTACAGCACAGCTTAAGCATTCATTAGTTATTTTTGACAGATAAATAGTTATAAAGGATAGATCCTGAAATCCTGTTTGATAATAGAGCCTAAAAAGAATTAATGAGATCCCATCCTCCTCCTTTGATGTCATCATAAGAGGTCAGTGGATTATGTGGGGTTGATTCTTCTTCCCGCTCAGTGATAAAGTCTGACAAGTAAATAATTGGTACTCATGTGCTGTGAAACCTTGAGAGTGATTTCCATACCTTCCAAGCCACCATGGACAACCTTGCCTTGTCAAACATCTGATCATGGGACATGGTTAGGGGGAAGTTGGCTGATGGTCAGTTTAGCCCTAATCACTCTAGTTTAGAGCTTCAAAGGGTTCCAAGCCCTCAAAGTTTGGTGGACACATTTACAACTTAATCTTTATGATGTTATTAAAAGACATTATGCAGCTTAGAGAGCTGCCATCAGGTAATCATGGCTAATGCACACAACTGTGGGAAATAGACATGAAATGTTGGATATGATTATGATGATATCAGCCTTTTCCTGCTATGGGTGGAGAGCAACTGAAACAAGTTGTCTTCTCTCCTTCTACTTTATAGTTAAGATTTCAATTGTGTTTAATTACCTGTTTCTGAAAGAGACTTTCTTGTTGCAGGTGACCTTCCTGGAAATTACCGAGACTTAGTGTGCTTTGAAAAAGTCTTCTGGAGAGTGGGTCCAGGACTTACACCTGCAAACTTCCTGTTTCTTGGGTTGAGGTGAGTGTTCTTCTTTACTGACAACATGTTTGTTTATTTCTGTGAATTAATATGTAGTAATATCTAGATAATATGCATGTTATAATAAAATTTTGGATAAAATTAGAGCAATACAGTCATGGGGCGGGGCATCTTTTCTCACCTGAGAAAAAAATGCACTACAGATGCTCCTCTACTTGCGAAAGAGTTACATTCTTGAGTCTTGTTTGTAAGTCTAACTTTACTCCTGTAGATACCAAACTTATTGTAAAAACTGAAAAGATTATGGATATTTAGCCCAGCTATACCCTTTAATACAGCCTTAAAACCTGGCTCACTCTTCTCCTCTTAGGTAATGTTTGTTTTATCTGGAATTTTCTTCAAAATAATCCAGTCTCATCCACATTAAACACCTGTTCTGGCAGGTAACCCCCCTCATTGATGATGTTTGTTTCTCTGAAAATTTGTAAGTTGAACGTTCTTAAGTAGAGGAGCACCTTTATAGTGGTGTTTCCTTATTATTTCACACTATTATACTTAGCAATATTATAAATCTCTGGCTAATAATAGGGACGGAAAGATAAATACTGATAGGCAAATGAGTTTATTATTATTATTTTATTTTGGGGTGGTTTATGAGGGGGGTGTAAGACGAGTGCTGTTTTTGGTGATCATTAACTTGTTTTACAGTATTAGTCCACAATAATAAGAAAATTTGGAAGAAAAAATTCGGTTATTGTTGGGGTTGAGGCAACTAGATATGTCTGATTACAGCAAATGTGTTATTGTCAATTTGTAGGTGAAAGATTTTATCCTCAATAGATGTAGGTTAACATTACACCTGGAGGCAAATGCCTAAAGAAGGAAGGATATTCCTTTTAGTTGTGTGAAAAAATATTAAAGAAAGTATATTATCATAAGTTTTCTTTTACAGAAAAGATGTATACTACTCCCACGAGGAAAGAGCGACTATCTTTGATTATATCGTCAAAACGAAGAGGTTTGGAGAGGTTAAAGACACAGTGTTTGGCAGGATATGGCCGAGGCCCAGGTAATACTACACCTCTTACTGCAGTACCTGTTCCTGTTATAGCACATGAACCATCATGTTTATTAATACTCTACTTGTTTTATGCATGCATACATACAGTCAGCCCTTAACATACGCGGGGGTTAGGTAAGAGAGATACCCATGAATGTTAAAAATCCGTGTATTTTTGCCTCCCCCCCTAAAAAACCCCTGGCCCCCCATGTCCTTATTTACCATATATACCTGTGTGTAGTTCGAGTTTTTAAGACTAAATTATTTGGCAAAAAATTAGGGGTCGACCTCTAAACGGCTAATAGTTTCGTTAGGTTGAAAAATATTTACCAGGAACTACCAGTAAACAATGGAAACGACGCACCACCGGCTGTGAGTGTCGGTACAGCTGCCAGGGCAGATATCTTGCATCATAATAGCAAGCCCAAAGTAACCAAATGCATGGTATGGTATACACAGGATGATGTAAAACAAAGTATTCATTTTTTAAAGTTTATTTATAGATACTGTACATAAATTTTTGTTCATTACATTTGAAACATCAATCTTTGTTAATTAAATTTGAAACAAAAGAAAACTACGATACCGTATTCTCATTAAAATATTACATCACAAGTATATTTTACCTTAACTGTGACTGAATGAATATATTCTCAGAAATAAATATGGAAATGTAATATTTTGGCTGAAATGACGTACATATTACAGTGGAAAGTGGGATAAAATCATGACAAAAACAATGACTCGCTTTCTTTCGTTGTTCGAAAGATTTTACCGTAATCGCATTTCGAATGGTTTTGAGTTAAAAAACTGTTGTACCGTACCGTATTACAATAATATTCTATCCTATCATTAGCCTCATAATCCCACAACTGAAAACCATTCGAAAAGTGATTACGGTAACATCTTTTGAACGAAAGAAAGCGAAAGTCATTGTTTTCGTCACAATTTTATCCCACTTTCCACTGTAATATGTATGTCATTTCAGCAAAAATATTACATTTCCATATTCTCAGAAATAAATAGTAGTTTTGTTGAAACGTAATGTACAGTATTTAATATTAAAATGCAAAAAGAGCTATAAAATCAATTAATACTATACATCCATAATGTACTGGCTGGCATCCCCACTCGTCCCTGCTGCCGCCAGTCACCGCACCTCCCCGCTCTATGCCTCCGCCTCCTCCACATCGTCACTACTGTTGTATTACAATAATATTCTATCCTAATTCACTTGAATAAGTACGACGATACCATATTTCTGAATATTTTCATTAAAATCCATCAAAATCTATTTCCTTGTCATCGTCTTAAGCACCAAAGAGCTCCTCCCAGTCTTCTCCTTGAACAGGGCTAGAGGGTACGTGTTTTTCGAATCGTTTTCAATTAAAAATTTTTACATCACATGTATATTTTACCTAAACTACGCCTGCATGAATATATTCTCAGAAATAAATAGTAGTTTTGCTGAAACGTGTTGTATTTCAATGTAAAATAGGATAAAATACATGACGAAAACAAAAGACTTTACCTAACCTTCCGATGTTCAAGATATGTTACTCGTTTTTTTAATAGTTTTTGGTTTAAATACTGTTATATTACAATGATATTTTATTCATACTGTGCTTGATATACTACATTCACGGAAATGTAATATTTTTGCTGAAATGACGTATGTATTACAGTGGAAAGTGGGATAAAATCGTGACGAAAACAATGACTTTCGCTTTGTTTCGTTCAAAAGATGTTACCGTAATGTAAATGGATCAAAATAAATGAAGAAATTTATGTAAATCTACCCAAAAATGCAGTTGAAAAACTTTTTATAAAATGTACTACAGTATTGTACACTAATGTACTACATTTTTTATATCTTGAGCAAAATATATGACGCTTATATTCAAATTAATCTCTGTCTTGCAAGGATTTCAGCAATGCAAATTATATTACAGTAAAAGTCCAAAAATCCGGATGCTAGAAATCCGGACCACCCGTGAATCCTGATTTTTTAGCAGGCTTTTGTGTGTATGTGCGCATGCGTGAGCGCCACAGCTGCACAGCGACAACAAGCGACCACGTGGTCGCCAATTTAAAACGAGCAATCAAACTGTGACAACATACCCTTTATAGGTCGACCCTGATTTTTTGATCAAGAAATCGTTAATTTATGATATTCCTCGTTTATAGTTTGACCCACGTTTTTGAGGGTAATGGAACAGCAAAACCTTCAGTAAAAACACTCTATGTCCTATAAACTGAGGCTCGCCGTGCCTGAAACACAAGTGCCGAAGGCAAATTGTTTACCATTTATTATTACGACACTTTACACTGAAACGCGGGTAGTTTCAACAAAAATATTGTATATTTCCATTCAAATATTTATTCAAGTCAATTAGGAGGGAATATTATTGTAATACAACAGTTTTTTAACTAAACCATTCGAAAAGCGATTTCGGTAACATCTTTTGAAGGAAAGAAAGCGAAAGTCATTGTTTTCGTCACGATTTTATCCCACTTTCCACTGTAATCTGTACGTAATTTTAGCAAAAATATTACATTTCGTGAATGTATTATATCAAGCACAGTATGAATAGAATATCATTGTAATATAACAGAATTTCATCCAAAAACTATTAAAAAAACGAGTAACATCTTAAGAACATCGGAAGCTTAGGAAAAGTCTTTTGTTTTCGTCATGTATTTTTATCCTATTTTACATTGAAATACATCACATTTCAGCAAAACTATTTATTTCCAAGAATATATTCATTCAGACGTGTGATGTAATAGTTTTTTAACTGAAAACGATTCGAAAAACACGTACCCTCTAGCCCCGTTCAAGGAGAGGACTAGGAGAAGCTGTTTGGTGCTGCAGACGATGACAAGGAAAATGATTTTGATGGATTTTAATGAAAATATTCAGAAATATGGTATTGTAGTATTTATTCAAGTCAATTAGGATAGAATATTATTGTAATACAACAGTTTTTTAACTGAAAACCATTCGAAAAGGGATTACGGTAACATCTTTTGAACGAAAGAAAGATAAAGTCATTGTTTTCGTCACGATTTTATCCAACTTTCCACTGTAATACGTACGCCATTTCAGCAAAAATATTACATTTCCGTGAATGCATTATATCAAGCACAGTATGAATAGAATACCGGTGTAACATAACATTATTTTGAGTCTTACTCTTTCCATTTACAGAGTACTGTACAAGCCCATGATAATGGCTCCTATAGTAGATAAACTTCGTTGTGTGAAGAGAAAGAATAACTCGTTGAAATTGAGTGACAAACTTGAAATAATTAAGAAACTAGAATGTGGTGTGAGCAATACTGTTCTAATGGAAACATACGACATTGGAAAGTCTACATTTTATGATATAAAAAAGGCAAAGAATAAAATTCTAGAATTCACAGCTTTTTCATTAAAACTGCTCGTTTTGGGACAGATGTTACCCTCACTAACAAACATGGCAGGTTTTCTGCAGGTACAATACTACAGTTTCCTCCCATACTGTACAGTTTTAACAGACCAACTGCCTAAACGGCTCATTACCGGTAATTACGACGTCGCTACGTGAATCCTAATTTAATGTTGACTCGGCCATAGTGAGCTTTAACATTTATGCCACTGATGAATGAGTCTTGATCACACACAACTATAAGGTGGCCTTCTCTTGCCACTCCATCTCTCCTCTGGCCTTTATTGTGTAAAAGCCAAGAATTATTATTGTGTGAGGATGTAGTGGATCTGAGGTGACAATGATAAATATTTTGGCGTTAAGTCGGTGGTGTGGTACTGTGCAGGTCTGACCCACCTGGTACAAACTACTGCAGGGAGTGAAGACCTTCCTTAAAAGGTTTAACTTGGCAGGATTCAGAAGGCCACAACACAGACGTCCTCAACGGCACTTGATGGTTTATAACGGCCATTTATTATTACTTACTTTTGACCTTGATGATGTGGTTCAGCCATTATCAGATGCAGGTCAGGAACACAAAGGACTGTTCCTCTATAATGCTCACTGAGTAAATGAGGATAGTTGCTTCAAGGCTCCACTGGGCAGATTGTTACCAGGTTTTATTTACAATTCTTAATTATTACATGGAATTATACATTTTCCACAATATATACTAAACTGTATACCTGTGTTGTCTATATACACGGTGAACTGTATACCTGGGTTGTCTATATTGTTTTAGCTGTGGTAAGATACCAAACTATCTCACTTGTTAACACTTGCCTGAACGAGTGTAGGTTAGTCGCTGGTACCTTTGATGCAGCCGAGTGAGATATAGGGTCATCTCACGTCATGTCACCTTTGATGCAGCTGAGTGAGATATAGGGTCATCTCACGTCATGTTACCTTTGATACTGCTGAGTGAGATATAGGGTCATCTCACGTTGTAACGACCACGGTCTTACACGCCAGTTAGCGCCAAAGTCAAATGATTCGTATTACGCTCAATAGCTCACAAAACATGTAACTCGGCTTTCGTTTGAGTCCTCCATCTGAGGAGTCCGTTTTCTCATCACTTCAAGACACCTCAGCCCTCCGTTATCCCATTTTCTCTGACTTACTGAAACCAACCTCTCTATAAAATGAATTTGAGTGTGAGAGAGAACACCCTTGTTGTGAGTCAACTTAGATTGTCTGCTTACAGTTGGAACATTCAAGATCCATTATGAGTGGGGTAGAATGCTTCAACTGTCCTTATCGTTAGTAGAACGTGTCAAGTAAGTGAGTGTCGAGTTTGCCAGCTAGAGTGGCGTATTTTATGTCGTCCGTGGGGGTATCCGTGAGTTTCTGATCGCGCCTGAAGTTATATCATTTTGTCGCCCCGACATCAGAGAATCTGATGTTTATAGTTTAATTTGTGTCAGTTGTCTATTTGAGAAAGTCATTAATCTCCTGAACTATTCTGTCAACTGGTATAATCTCCAAGATCTAGCGCCTCCCCGTGACTAGCTCCTTGTTTCGTCTCAGGCCTGAGCTTGCAGAATTAATGTTATCGACGTGTATATTCCACCTTTTCCTGGCAAGCTCAACCTCTGATTAGATTATATGAATAGACATAGGAAATTACCCTGATCAAGAACACCGGATTTCATAACTAAGTATACAGTGATCCAAAATGATAGAGAAGTTATGTTGTTGGTAAGATCGACCCTTCTGGTATGAATATGGAGGCCCAAGCTGCCCAGCAGGTGCACATATATACCTCTACACGAGGGAGAATCACGCATTCGTGACTTCCTCAACGTCTCTCCAGGTATGTTAACGTGTGTTCCCGCCGCCTATTAATTCAGTTTAACTTAGTCAATTTTGGTGAATATCAGTGCTCATGTGTTAACATAGTGAATTCTGTGCCAATTAAGTCGAGTAACGTAGAGATTTAGATATTGTCTGAACCGTTGCCAGGCGTATGTTTTGTATAGTTGAAGTTAGACCTTTACGCATTCGTGACTTCCTCAACGTCTCTCCAGTGTGTTGAGCTGAATACTCATCGGCTAACGTGGGGCGGTAACCGGGTTGGACGATGCCGTTAATTCGACAGGACTGAACTGGGAAGTCCGTTTCCTGCAAATCAGGCGCCCACTCCCTGAGCTTGTGTCGGTCTACAACCGACCCCTAACAGCGATCTTCATTTATTGTAGAGACCAGCGTTACCCTGGGGCACTCCTCACAGTTACATAGGCCTAAGTATTATGGTATCTTGTTTGGGGGATAACTAGCAGAAATATAGTATCCCAGGTTAAGTATTGAACCACTGAATGAGAGTTAAAAGTGCCATGTCGTTCCTTGTGAATTAACAGGAGGTATTGTATGCTGAGATAATTGTGGAGTTGTCCAGTGTGCTATGTATTCATGGGTAGTGACCATGAAATGATAATCTGAGAGTATAATGATATAACCAAGAAGTGAAGAGTTAATTTGCTACTTGGTAAGGTAAGACCTGAGGGTCCAGTGATATCTGGTGTATACCCAGTACTGAATATCATTTGGCAGAGTGACAATACCACAATTGTCGATTGAAGTAATAAGTATTTGGAGGTATTTAATGAGGTAATAAGTTCTTGAAGTGTTTGATGACTTAAGAAACAAATTGCCGTTCTGTTTTGCCTGAGTGAATCTAAGATGCATCTTATCCAATCACTGTGTTAATAAATATTGAATTAGTAATCTACGTCTACGAGTATCACCACTCTATCCTTTCCCACATTGGTTCTCAGAAAATAACTAACTCACGTGCCTAGAAACTCGCTACCTAACAGTTAACTAAGAGAAGTTATATTCTAGAAAAATCCTGGGTGGTGGCAGTTCTACCGTCGTAAGTATAATAAGTGTGGTAATAAGAAAGACATGGTTTCCCAGGTTAATCCATGGTTTAGAATATAACTAGAACAAAATATATGGATGAGATTATAATATATGAAAGGAAATGAAAAGAAAGAACATTGACTTGGAAAATATAAGCAGAGAAACATACGAGCTACTTATATAAGAATATATACGAATATAAGGTATATAGAGATAAAGAACACATAAGAATATAAGCAAGGATATATAAGAATAAGTGTATATGTAAAGAACTGAAGGAGTATAAGTATATAAAACAGGATACTCATTGGAAAGAATAGCTGGATGGTAAATTATTAAAAAGAGGAAACGCGACCCGTTACAAATGGTGACCAGCTAGTGGGATTATTTTCATTTGAGAACCAATTTGAAGGAATGAGGTGTGGTACTTGGTGAATTTGTTTTCTCAAAATACAGTATACAGTAATGTACAATTTTGTCATCAGTAAAGAGTACAAATAATTGTGTGATTTAAAGTACAAACTTTTGTGTCAAGTACTGTACAATACTACTGTATTTGGAACTGCAAAGATATTTTTTTAAAGAGTTAAGGGAAGAACTAACAATTGATTCACTTTCACAATTGTTTTTTGTGCAAGAAAGTTATAACTTTTTGGGTGTCAAAAAGTTAGGTAAAGCACCAACTTTTTAGTAAGCTACCTAACTGATCTTTTGAGTTTTTATTGTGTGAAATTTCTGAAGTGGTAATTGCACATTAGTGTAAATTTTATTTTTATGTTTGTGACCAGTGAATTAATCTATTGATATTTGCAGACATTGAGTGGGCAGTTTACATCTTCCATGTTAAAAATGTGATGAACAGTGTTCATCTCTTGAGTGCCAACGGAAGTGTCATATTTACAAAGGTTATGTAATCCAATGTTTTATTTGTAGCTGTGGCATTTATTGGAAATATTGGTGTGATTTCAATAGAAAGTGTTCAGACTCTCACTTGAAGTATTTTTCTAACTTGAATTTATATTATATCACCTGAATTGAGTGTTATATGATTTCTCTTTGTGTGTATTTAATTATTTTTGTTTCTTTTTCTAGTGACTTTAATTGTGATTTAACTAGAAAGGGTTTTAGTTCCCATTTGATGTCAGTTTATGACAAGTGAATTTATTGATATAACAAAAGTTTAGTGTTAGAGATTTTTCCATATGGCATTTTTAATCTGTTTCTTTAACTGATAATTTCATTAAAGACTGCAATACAATTTCTTACAGTGTAGACTTATATGCATTGTTAATAAATGTGCTATATGTATTTGAGAACTAATGCCTGTGTATTTTCAGCAAATGTGTTGATTGGGTTGAGAACCCTGTGGTGACATGGACGCCTCTAAGAATGCAATCTCTGAAACCAGATACTAGTTGAAATTACATGTAAGGTCCACCAAGTGTTGAGTACAGCACATAGTCCAGATAATTGAAAAGAGACAGTGAATACTTGTCGAGTACCGAAAATCGGCTTTTCTGTTAGTCATTCCTGAAATGAAGAGTGATATTTTCATGGGACATTCTTGTCAAGTATCATCACTTAATGTTTTAGCATTACTCTGAGTACCTTGTGAAGTGAAACTTCTGTGTTGTTTTCTTTAGAGAGCGTTAATTTTTTTGTGTGACAGTCTCCGATACTATTACCAATAATTTTCATGATTATAATTTAAGAAGTATTCTATGCAAGTTTGTGTTAATGTTTACCCCCCGTGTCTTGAAGGGTGTTAATTGAGTTTATCTTTGGTGGGGTAGTTTTGTAGAAGTTTTGTTGGGACATCAACGCATGATGATCACAGTAGTTGTTAATAAGTTGCAACTCGTATGCAAAGAAGACTGAGAAAGCTAGTGGTTGTCATGGCTACTAGAATTTGGGTGTTTGAGAAGGGAGAAGGTCAGATCTTACGTCTCGGGTTTACCCATCGCTATTTCAAACAACATCCAGAAATATGCGTGAGCGTCAATTCGGATTCATGTATATATGTTCCTTTTAGTAACGTAACCTCGAAAGCAGTTTGTTTGCTCACCGGTACAATACTTGGATAGTATGAGCTAATCCCGGAGCGAGAAATTTCTTATTTAGATACTGCAGGGACCAATCTAGGGAACATTCCACAAGTATATGATGAATTATGTAAAGTCAGTCAAGCAAATGAAATCTCCTTATATGCACCCCATTACTTGGCGATCCAGCTTGAACAGAATAGGCCCAGTACCTTGAAAGTCATTCCAGTAGATGATAATAATGCTTCCCCCCACTTCTTGTGTGATCTGTAATGGCATACCAACATCTTCCATCAATAACGTAAGGCTTATTCAGGGGATTTCGAACAGCATGATACCATATTGTGATGAAGTAAATATGGGAAACACTAGACCCAAGAAGTTGAAAGAACTGATTAGAAATCAACCTTGGCCGCATTTGACTAGAGATATGTGCAAGATGTTGGAGGGTGTAATGTGGATCACACTGCTTTGTTTGTGTTAGGACCTCGGGAAATAGGTACCATGGTGGGGCATCCCGCTAATATCCAACTAGCCAACGATAACCCCATTGGAGGGCCACAGTACCGACACCCTGAAAAGGCTAAGGATGTCATTAAAGGCATGATCACCGACATGCACGACAGACATATCATCGAACCATCAACCGCTGTTTGGTTGTCTCCCATTGTTTTAGTCACTAAACCCAATGGTTCCAAACGCATGTGTTTAGATTTCCGAGCGGTAAACCAACATTTGAAAGTAGATATACAACCCCTTCCCAGGTTAGATGAATTAGTAGGAAAAGCTGCCAGAAATAAGTATTATGCTACTTTAGACTTGAGAGACGCAAATTATTAAAGTAATACTTAACGACAAAAGTCGAGACCTAACCCCATTTAGTGATGGAATATAACTCATGAAAGTTTATACACTTATCTTTTGGGCTTTTTCAGCCAGTCCCGTTATTCTTTTTATTTTACCAGAGAAGTAAACCTAGTGGTAGCCCCTTTTTGCAGCGAAGAACTGGGTGAGAAACTACCTCGATGACGTGATAGTGTGGGCTAATGATTTCACAACGTTGGTGGACAGGCTGGCCAGAGTGTTTGATAGATTCGTAGAAATGGGAGTCAAGTTAAACTTATTAAAGTGTCAGTCTGGTCAACAACAAGTGAAATTTTTAGGGCATGTAATGTCAGAGAGAGGCATTGAACCAGATCCAGAGAATGTCCGAGCTGTATCAGAGTGTAAACCTAAACCCCCAATTAATGTGAAGCAAGTTCGCCGGTTTTTAGGAATGTGTAGATTCTACTGTAAACATGTCCCCAACTTTGCCAAGATAGCTTATCCTATCACCGAACTCACTAAAGCAAATGTCACTTTCGGGTGGACTGATAAATGTCAGAGGTCCTTTGATACGTTGAAACACGCCCTCACGTCATTTCCAGTTCTCGTTAAAGCAGATGCCGATAAACCCTTTGAATTGCACAGCGATGCCAGTGACGTCTGTGTAGGAGCTTCCCTTGATCAGGTGCAGACAGACGGCTCGTTACGTCTGGTAGGTTATTTTTCCAGCAAATTAAAACCCGCTGAGACTCGTTATTCTACCACTGATAAGGAAGCCCTCGGAATTGTATTAGCATGCCGGTTTTTCCATCATTTTTTTGTGGGGCACACAATTTACTATCAAAACTGACCATCAACCTCTGACCTCAGTCTTCAGGAAGAAGACTAAGAATCAGAGAATGAACAGGTGGATGATGAACATCAACTGGTGGGTTTGCCATCCAAGTTTGGCCAGTGTGAGACTTTTTGTGAAGGGATTGTCAGTGTGTAGCCTGGGCCAGAGGAATGAGTAGATGTGTCTTACTGCAGTGAGAACATCGTTTGGTGTGAGTGATCAAGTTTACCTGGAGGTCCTATGCGCATAGGCCTAAGTTGGTGTAGGAGGTAGTGGGGCTGGACTTTAGTCACGGCTAGGCGTGTACAGGAGTACCGTACATGGACCTAGTGCAGTTTAAGACGGTTGCATTGCAAAGTCACGGCTAGGCGTGTACAGGAGTACATGGACCTAGTGCAGTTTAAGACGTTTGCATTGCCAAGTCACGGCTAGGCGTGTACAGGAGTACAGTGCATGGACCTAGTGCAGTTTAAGACGCCTGCATTGCAAAGTCACGGCTAGGCGTGTACAGGAGTACATGGACCTAGTGCAGTTTAAGACGCTTGCATTGCAGAGTCACGGCTAGGCGTGTACAGTCGTGTACAGGAGTACAGTGCATGGACCTAGTGCAGTTTAAGACGCTTGCATTGCAGAGTTACGGCTAGGCGTGTACAGGAGTACATGGACCTAGTGCAGTTTAAGACTCTTGCATTGCAAAGTACAAAAGGGAACCGAGGTTTTGGGGGTTTCATGTGGACCGGGTCGCTGGCATTATAGTCTATTTGAGTCCATGCTCTGACCACTTAGATCTTGCCTCGTCTCGTGAATGAACAATGATTCTTCCGTGGTAAGGTCAACCCTAATGCTTCGGTGACTGGATGGGGTCCGCCTAACTACTCCTAGCTTGAGATCTCAATTGTTGAATTTGGTGCTTGGATCCAGTGTTATACATATCTGATCAATTGCCTAGATGGAAACTACCTGTCATCCTGGTGGATGGTGTAGTTACAAATGTACAAAAACTATAATTAAGGCCGGCCTGTTTTTATTATTATGTCTGTACTATTGATGTATGATTATATTCTTCTGTGGGTCATGACCAGTATTGCTTTGTTAGTTTTATCTGCCCATGTCTGGGAGTTTTTGTGATTATTCATTTGAGTTGCAAAATTTTATGTATGTGAAAATTTTGTAACATGTGTGTTGTCTGCATTGTTGACCATTATCCCAGTACTGCAAGATATTGTGTTTTGAAATTGTGTATTTACTGTGAATGTTTTATTGACTATACCACATAATATTGAATCTTTGGGAGGGGAAAGCTTTGTAACGACCACGGTCTTACACGCCAGTTAGCGCCAAAGTCAAATGATTCATATTACGCTCAATAGCCCACAAAACATGTAACTCGGCTTTCGTTTGAGTCCTCCATCTGAGGAGTCCGTTTTCTCATCACTTCAAGACACCTCAGCCCTCCGTTATCCCATTTTCTCTGACTTACTGAAACCAACCTCTCTATAAAATGAATTTGAGTGTGAGAGAGAACACCCTTGTTGTGAGTCAACTTAGATTGTCTGCTTACAGTTGGAACATTCAAGATCCATTATGAGTGGGGTAGAATGCTTCAACTGTCCTTATCGTTAGTAGAACGTGTCAAGTAAGTGAGTGTCGAGTTTGCCAGCTAGAATGACATATTTTATGTCGTCCGTGGGGGTATCCGTGAGTTTCTGATCGCGCCTGAAGTTATATCATTTTGTCGCCCCGACATCAGAGAATCTGATGTTTATAGTTTAATTAGTGTCAGTTGTCTATTTGAGAAAGTCATTAATCTCCTGAACTATTCTGTCAACTGGTATAATCTCCAAGATCTA